AGACAGACAGACAGAGGTGCACAACAACTACACTAATAGTAGTGACTGATGATGATGAACATGAAGAAGATGATATTTCACACCACTGGGTATCACAGGGAAGGCGGCAGAAAGACACTCTATGATCTCTTGGGTAATGCTGCTGGAAAACAAGTTGGGGTGTAATCAACCTTCAGCTATGTTTTACCAAATCTGAACTATGCATTCATTTTGACACTCGAAGCAATAAACATGCTGCAAAGCAAGTGCCAAATTAGCAACCTATGCAGGACTACTGCAGCAGCTTTCATTTGTGAAAGGCGATGACACAGTCTGCATGTAAGCAGTGTTTGCAAAGCAGTTTTTGAAAAGAAGGGAGGCTGCTGAAACTTCAGATGGTAGTGGATCACAAGAAGTGATCTGTTGAGTTAGTGCTTCTGGGGAACCAGACAGGTTTGGGGTTGCAACGCTAGATTACTCATAGGATTGAATTTCCTCTCATTCTAATTTTGACACATTTCACTTACCAAAACAAACGCTAAACTAATGATCCATGCAATGCAAGCATTCCGTATGACTCGATAATTTATTTATAAATTTGCACCTTTTGCAAAATAGAGCATTAAGCATTGCTTCAAAATTGCATTTTTGGGTCAACTGGGTGAGAATGTCTGAGAACACGCCAGACCCAAAACAACCAATGTCACTAATGGTATGTCCTGGTCTAACACTTCTAGGCCTATGGGGTTAGACAGGTGTACAAATGAGATCCATAAAGTCCAAGTGCTCATGAACTGGTCTACGACCAGGCAGTGAAACAGCTTTCTCAGTCTAATCTCTAATGGTATTGAGCAGGCTGTGTGCTGCTGATCCAGACCTATTATCTAATTGCTACTGCAGCAACACTGACTGGGCATAACACATTAATCTCTCCCTCCCTCCCTACCTCCTCTCCCTCTTTCCCTGCCTCCCTATCTGCTGTGTAATTAGTTTTTTCTCTGTCCATTACTTACTGCTTACTAAGACACTCTGTACACTATGGGCTTTATGCACATTACCAGGGTTTGTCATACATTTACCTTTAGTCTCAATCACCATTTTCTTATCTAGTTGATATTTAGTCATCACACCCCACAAGGAAACGCAGAAGAGCTTAAAATCAGACCCCATATAACCTGTTTCATCTTTCCCCCTCTAGAAGACATCCCTGGAAACATTTTAGAATAGAATGTGCATCCTTTTACTGCCAAATAGTCTAAGCATGTTGTATATAGTGTACATAGACTCAATCTGTATATAGAATAAGTTATTAATGCAATACAACATTTGTTCCATAATTCTTTGCACTGCCAGCAATATTGAACTACCTGTATAGGACAACCTTTAATATAACACTGGACAACAAAAACATACCAGTCATATTTGTACAGTAGTAATTATATATTATGTACCCGACAATACAGTGTCTAGAGCTTACCTTCATACTTGTTTGAGTGTAGAATAATGTTTTACTGTATGCTTTTTGGATGCTTGTCTTTTTTTGCTTTTTAATTTTGCTTTTATTTGCTAGTTAACAGTAAAGACAACAGGTAAACCACCAGCGTTGGTGCTGAAAGACGGTGGCGAACTCGGAAGGGCAGGGTAAAAATAAAAATAAAAAGAGCACCAGCTATGTGGTTGGCCACCAGAAAGTCATGAGGCATTTATGGTGAAACATTAGTCAGGTTTAAGATTAGCACCCTAAAAGGCACTTTACCATATTTTGTCCACTGGAATGGCATCTAGAGGGCATTTTATCATGTTTTGTCTACTGGACAGGCACCCAGAAGGCCATTTTATCACATTTTGACCACTGGACGGGCACCAATACAACAATACAAAAAAGCCACACAGGCATTGGTAATTTTTGAACTACTTTATGAACTGACCAAATATGGCCAAAGCCAACAATGACCCCAAGTGAGTCAATGTTAAAACATATGAACAAGAAAAGATGAAATTGAAAGTATGTCTGGTCAAAACTTGCATTCTTGGATTCTAATGGCCAGCTTGGAGCGACTCCACAAGTTGCAAAAAAGGAAGTCTGATTGTACGGAGTCCCGTGAGAAAATAAGCCAACTTCTCCCTTGTATTATTAGCTCACTAAACAATTTCTTAATGAGTTTATGGTCTCAATCTCTAATTTCAAGTCTTCTTCCATACAGCATGATGTTCATTTAGTAAATTATGGTCCCATTTACAGTACTATAGATGATCAATCAGGGTATGCTTTAGGGTGTGGCTACCTTGTCATTGGCAAGTCGCTACCATGGCGAGTCCTCAGGTTCTCAGTCAGATCCAACCAGGAAAGAGCTGTAGCATGCCACGATGGTGACAACCATAATGCAAATTTTCAGGCTTCACAACAATGGTCCACAAACCAATGGTGATGTCACGATAGGTTCACACTTAAAAGAACAAAGAGGACAATATATTAATCACTCAAAAAAAATTCCTGAAAATAATAGAGAAATGTGATTAAAAATTATGGCACACACATAGCATATACCCCTGTCATCATATCTGAGTTTTCAGTGTTTCCACTGGTCACTGCTGAAGGGTAGTTACGTTTACACTTTTAACTGCTCACACTGTCATATACACCAATCATTCATAATATTCTGACCACCTGGGCACCCTGGTAGTCATGATGTTATGCACGGTGTGTTCTGACACCTTTCTATCAGAACCAGCATTAACCTTTTCAGCAGTTTGAGCTACAGTAGCTCGTCTGTACATGGGACAGCCTTCACTGCCCACGTGCATC